TGTAAGCGACTCTGTACACTGTGCAATTTATTATCCAGTAATTCGAGGATTAAAAGTAAGTGAAGTCTGGAAGTAGTTTCGTCATTCGCATGACCACTCCCTTTATCTCTTAATGTTGCTCCATTATCTGGGCAGAGAAAGAGAAATAATGAGAGCGAGAATTTCTGGGTGTGTTTGCGTTGAGGTTACTTGAGATAACTGTGACTGGACCTCACAAAAAGAAGAGAGGGCTTCGGCCAGACCTGTCACCTCGAGCCCTCACCCCCGGCGATTTCACAGGCAGGTCATACACAGGGTACACAGCCACGCCAAGCCGACCTTCTGTTTTTGACGTATTGTCCTCGTTCTTTCTGCTGCTTTTCTTCTGTACTTTTGCTCGATGATGCCTCTCTTCACTCTCTCATGCGATCCTCTCCATCTTTATCTTCTGCAGCTTCTTCTGCTTTTACCCACAGGTTTCACCCCTTTTACCCTAAAATATTCAATGTCCAAATTTAGAAAAGAACAATAAAGTGAAGAAGTTACATCAGGCATGTCAGTCTCCTGGGAAACAGCAGAAAAACAGATAAGTCTAGAGATGGGGCAAAGAGAATGGGTGGAGAATGGAGGAAATAGCAAATCTACCAATACCTGGCCTATGCGCTGGACTCGGTGAGCTATACAGCGTTTTCACATTTGTGATCTCCTTTGCTCTTTATCCATCATCTTGGGCTAGGCAGAGCCGCGGGCCTCCTTACTCGGCCTTTAGGAAAGGAAGGGCTGGAGAAGTAAGGCCTCTTCCCAGGCCCCATGGCTGGAGAGGGCAGCGCTAGGCCTCAAGCCTCACTCTTCTCGGTCCAAATCCTTCTCTCCACGGTGCCATGGAGACGCCCACAAAGTCCTCACCCAACTCGAGAATCGCTCTGCAAGCTCCAAATCATTTTCCTGAAAGGGAGTTCTGGGTTCCTCCAAAGTGGTCTTTGGCTTCTGTGGTTGTAGTGTCACTTTCACTCAAGATGCATAGCATAGCTCTTACAGGAAATCACCACTGACTGTTATGGGCCTTAGCAAGTGCTTCTTGGAACAAGCTGAGGGCCCGCCTGGTGTCTGAGACTGCACAGCATTATGGGGTCCCACGTCCATCGGGGTAAGAGTTGCCGTTAGCACATGGTTGCAGGAGGAGCCTGTGATGCTTCGGGAAAAGGACCTGAGCTGCCCTTGCCAGCTCCACTGCTCTTGTGACTCTGGCTTCTCTCTGGTTTCCACCTTGGTTTTGTCCACCTCTGGTTTCTTCCCAGCTCTCACCTCTGTTCCCTTGGTGACTCGCTCCTGGTTACCGATTTAATTCTATGGCCCACCCAGTTTTCCAGCTTCCCTTTTGGTGATACGCGATGCTCCCAGCACAAACTCTTGGGGCTGATCCCCAATGTTTTCAACTTTCCCCACTTCCCCATCGGAGGCTCCCTGCACACCCAGCCCTTCCCTGACTTCATCTCTGCCAGTTCTCATTGTGTGAGGACTGGACCGAATCTGTCCTGGAGAAGTTGTGAGGGCAGACCTCCTACAGTAGTTGGATGCTATCGCCCTTTCCCACCGCACCCAGCAACCTCTCCCCCACTCCCCCTCTCCTGAGATACGATGCGGAATAGATCAGCATGTGTTTAAACAGAAAGATGTACAGGGGTGTTTGCTGCAGCAGCATTGGAAATACAAGAAGTGAAAGAAACAAAAGAAATAGAAGTCCAAGAAATACAAGAAATGATGTAAATCTCCATCAACAGGAATAAAAAATCCCTTCCAAATAGTGGGAGGAACAGACAGCTATGTGGATGCAGACGTGGAAGAATCTTCAAGTCAAATTTTAAGTGAAAAAAAGCCAGAGACAGAATATTTAACTTTTGGTACCATTTGTGTTAATGAAAGAAAACAGGAAATGACGCTCATACTCGTATGGGCACAGAGTTTCTCTGGAAGGCAACAGAAACCGCTGCCCCTGGGGAGGCTAACCGAGTAACTGCGTGGTGGTGAAATTTCCCTTCTGAACTTACTACCTATTCAAACATTCTAATGAAAAACAAGATCAAAGCTTTCGAATCGACCTAGAGATGTGAAATCAGATGAGACCTTAGTTGTACAGATCAGAACATTAAGCCATTTAGAGATAAATACTTTATTTAAATTCCCACAATTACTAAGTGACAGAGCTATGACTAAGACCCTTATTGTCATTTGGTACCTATGCTCAAGGGAATGCAGCTTCAAAACCCTAGAGTTAGTAGAATTTACAGCCTAAATGACAGGGTTACACCCCAGGGTGAGACGTTCGAGACTAGGTTTCTTCATCTGTAAAATGTGAGCAAGGAAGTCGTTGTGAAGATTAAATGAGGTAGTGTTCACCCTGGAACCCAGCACACACTAAGTCTTTGATAAACGCCAGTCACTGTTGTTCATTATTTCAGGGCTATTATGGAGTTGGTTGGGGCAAGGACGACTGTGAGGAAGGTTGTAGGAGCGTCCAGAGATGAAGGCATGCAGAGAGAGAAGAAAAATGGAGAGGGAGAGGGAGAGGGGGGTGGGGAGAACACTTGATTCTCATTTATTTAAATAGTCACTAGAAAATTCCATTGAGTAAATGTTTAACATAGAAAACATAGGTTAAGGTATGTGCGAGAGGGATATTGTGGAAAAAATTTCCATCCCCTTTTACTCCAAAAGGCCACTGAGGGCCGTCCGTGACCAGCATCGTCTCTTATGCTGAAAAATAAGTGGGCACGACACAGGGCCATCTGGCGTCCTCTCCATTTCGCTTTCGTTCCCTATTGCCGAAAGCCCTCATTCTTGCCAGCCTATTTCCTTTCCTATTTTCTTTTCTTCAGGGGCTACTGGTCAAGTGGTGACTCAGAGAACTAAGTGTTCCCCTGGGAACTGTTGGCCCTCCGTGGAGAGGCACTGAAAAGATCCCGCATCTTAGGCAGCTTTGCTCATGGAGTCTGGGCCGAGATGCCCAGCGAGAGCCCTGGCAAAGCCGAGGTTTCTGAGAACCGTTCCCCTCCCTTCCCCTTTGGGCCAGAAAGCCACCTCCTTATAGGCTGAGGGGCAAGGATAAGGGGTTCCCCCTCTTGTTCACCACCTCAGGATTTGTAATCATTACATTCCTGCCAGATTCAGCAATTAGCCCTCCAAGGTTCAAAACCTCACTCCTCCACGACAGCTCTGTGAGGGATGGGAAGTTGTGTGACCTCTTTGTCCTAGGTTCTATCTGAAAAAATGATGGGAACAAAATGTGTTAGTTTGGATAAATGGCAGAGAGCACAGGAGTCGGCTCTCAGTAACCCCTTTCACAAAGGTTAGCTCCAAATGGTAGCAGCAGCCAGAGCAGAAGCGGAAGTGGAAGGGGCGTCTGCGTATTCGGAAAAGGTTCGTTAGCACTGGCCCCACTTGTGCATGTGCCGCCCCCCGACCCACACCCCAAACCCCCTTGGACATCTCGTCTTCACTGGCCCGAGTCGCCAGTAAGGAATGCTGTTTGGGCCCAGGAGCTCTGCAGGCAGGGTAACTTTAATGAGGACAGTGTCCTTGTGGCCGGATATCTTTTCCTGATCCAGGATGAGACGTGACATATCAATGTTTTTAACATGTGAGTAATCGATTTACCTTATTTCAAAGACATCAGTGTAGGACAAAGTCATTTAACCCGGACGGCAGAAGCCAACAAATGGTAGATTTTTAAAAATCTTGCTTGTGATGCATACATGTGAAGAGCACCAGTTAGTTATACTCTTAGTCAATAATCAACTCTGATGGTTTGGGGTGGCATTTACCAGTGTGATTATCAAGTGGATTCCCTGGTCTTCGGGAAAACTGAAATGTTTATTTATGTAATCAGAATAATTAGACTGTGATCAAACAAATATTTTTATAAATCAAATCAGAGGAACCTGTTGTCATTACAGTCATGCATGTAAGTAAGGTACCAACGGGCTTGGCTGCGGCCGGGTCAATCGTGCTGTGGAGTGGTGGCCTAACCTGTAGCAACCGGGCGTCGTTTAAAGCAGCCGACTTCTCTGCTTACATAGCACCTTTCACCGTAGAGAGAACTTTCACATAAATTATCTCATTTGATAAGTTTTCTATAGCCTAAACTCACTTGCTGTTTTCCTGCAGTGGGCCCCATCTGAACTATAGGCAACATTACACCATGATAGGATGAAAACTTCCGCCTGCCTTACCATGATCACTACATAGCCAGGTGAGGACAGACTTCTCAAATAATACTCCTTTCCTGTCCTGTGAAGTTCAAACAGAATAAACTTGCTTATAGATTATGAACAAGGAAAGTTCAGGAGATACATTTTACTGAATACATTTAAATATAAGTGTAGTTTCCTAGTCTCTAAATTCCCCTTGAGAATTTTACTTTACAAATGAAATACACATGGTATTTTTATTTGGAATCCAGGGGGATTTCTGTCAGATAATCTCAGAGGGAGACTTAGTTCTCTGCAGAACGTGAGACCTGATGCCGAAATCTAGGCAGTCACCACAATTTCAAAGAATTTTTTTTCCCATCGATGGGTAACCTTCAATCAGGGCACAGTGCATTCCTTTGTATCTACAAGTGTTATGTGGCAAGTACTTACCTTTCAGCAAAAGTGTATTTAAATTTATTCGGAAATGCTATTAAAATATCCCGAGACCCTAGGCAACGTCCTGGAATAGCACACATGACAGGGCAAAGCTTCTCGATGCCTTCGCTTAAACATGTCTAAGCTACGGGGTCAAGGCTACACCGCCTGCGTTTGGGGGAGGTGTCTCTTTGGGCTCTGAGTCCACTTTCAATATACTCCCAGCATGAGCTCCATTTATGTTAAATCGATACTCTGTCGCACTGAACCAGAAGACCAAATACAGCGGATCAAGTTTATCACTGGATGCATGTAGAATAAATTTAAAAATCATTGCAAACATAACCTACTAGCTTTGTCTCCATGGCAATCTTAATTCTGTGTGTGTTACCACAGGTTATTTGGAGGCAACAGAAACGTCAGCGTATATGCCCGTGGGTGAGGAGAGTACAGATGAAGATACTACTATTATAAGTACAATTGCTGCAATGACGACGGAAACGTTAACTGGAAATACGAGTTCAATCCTCATTGAGGAGGAAGATAGTCAGCTAGAGTTTATATTAATGGTGTTGATCCCGTCGATATTACTGGCCCTCCTACTCTTATCAGTGGTACTTATTGTAATAAATTATAAGAGGAAAAAAACTAAACAAGGTAAATATTTTGTGTGTTCCCAAGTCCAGACAATTGCTTCATGTGTTAACGAACAATCAATAAAACAAAATACTTTTCGCTTCTCCACAGTGCCTTCTAGCCAAGGATCTCAGAGTGTTTTACAGACATGTGAGTATTATCCTAACACCCGCTCAGAACTGGAGGTGGGGTAAGAGAAGGAACTGAGAGGTTTTAAAGTTAAGCAATAAGGACTATATAAGATATTAAGTCATGAATGACATATTTTCATGAAGTTTTTCAGAGTTTAAAAATGCTATATTCCTTTCTTTTCTTTTCTTTTCTTTTTAAGGGAATGTTTCAGCTTAAATTGAAATTTAATATACAAAGCTACTAGCTCTATACCTAATCCAGAGGAGGACCCTGTACTATCTTGGCCAATAGGTCAATGTAACATGTCCTTACTTTTGGAGGTGTGGGAAAGGGGTGCAGAGCTTCCACACCCTCTCCAAGTGCACTACTCTCCCCATGGTGATGACATGGTGATGACATCATGCTGATGACAAGGCTGGGGCCAGACAGGGGGCAGGGATGACAAGGCTGGGGACCTTGGGGTCATTCCACAAGAAGAGGATTCTTCTATCTATATTTCTGTCACGGATATTGTTTCTTCCCTGTGCCACATCCCAGTTTGGCCTTGAAAAGGCCTGGATGAAGAAGCGTTGTTCTTGTTTCCATTAAAGCTGTGCTAACTTTGATAAACAAATTCCCAACCTGCTAAAGATTACAATCATCAGTCTGAAACCGATCTCATAGAAAACTCCTTAGGTCAGAGATTCACTCTGAGAGTATTCACTTCCACTTCTACAAGCATCAAACGCCAGGTTTTAGGGGAGTTCTAGATCCAAAACAGACTTGGGTACTTTGGGCTTGTTTTGGTAAAAATGACTCCAATTAAAGTTTTAAGTTGAAGCCCTTAGTCATTCCAAAAATCACTCGAGGGATGAGAATTTCTCTAATAAGATACATATTTATATATTCATACAGAACGCACTGTCTGTCCCTCAGGTCTGTTAACAGGGTACCTCTGGCTTTGAAATCATGCCCTCGCATGCAGGCTTTGCTCATTGCCCTC